TTTCGCTACACTCAGAATCTAAAAATCGTTTTAAAAATTGTTTGTATTATATCACATCAGGTAATTTAGTATCTATCACATAGTTATTAACAACTACGTATAGTGGCATAAATAAAAATATTTAACGAGGTTTTTTAATCAATACAATTTACCTTTTATTGTATGCAGGCTGCCAGAGGACTTAATTCTTGATGAAAACGCTTTGGGCTTTATGAAAAACCGTAAATTATCGCTATTGATTTTATTTAAGTTTCAATGTTGAAGGTCGGGCTCTAAATATACCTTATCAACAATAAGTTTATATTACTAATCGAAAAATTCAAAATAATATAAAGTGTAATACCCACCGATGTATATATACACGATTCGTGAATTTTTTATCCGAGCGTGTTCACGTCGTCTCGTCCTTGACCGAATGAGTGAGCTGCTGCTCTAATTGTGGCCGATCAAACTCGTCGTTTATTTATAAATACCCATTATTATTATATTTTTTTTTTTTAATTTTAAAACTGACACTTACAAAATTGTATTTTCGTGCTGGTTTGTCGTCGAAATAATTATTATTATATATTATTAAAATGTGTGCTATCACACGATCGTCGAATACACGATTGTAATTTTTGAAGTTATTTTGAAAATTTAACGGAGCCGCGGTCAAGGGCACAACGACAGGGTTAAGGAGACAGCTAAGAACGTGGAGAAGGGAGCGCACTCCGTTTAAGCAGGGCCTCAGCATAACTTTTTAAAAACTTACGAAACACCCAAAAATCAATAAAATATATGTATATTAAATTATTCATAAAAAAATGTATAGTTTTTCTTCAAAAGTTATTTATTTTTGCACAATTGGATAAATAAATATAAGTATACCTTCGTAAACGTATTTTATTGTTTATTATCTTTTTGTTTTTTGAAAAATTTGAAATCGCTGCAGTTCGGATTAGCCCGGGGATCTGTTGGTCGAGGAAGTTAAAATTCGAACACGCCAGTAAACGGGAATAACTGAGGTTAGGTCCTTATGTAAGATTATCAAGACAAAAACCATATCAAAAATCAATTTTACACATGACTTCCAGTTCCCATTGCTAGGTGTGCTAGGGGTGTCTTACTGCATAGTATTTATTTTCCACATTGGTGGCAATTACGTATTTCTCATGAAAATAGTTAAATTTTCTGCTGTTACCGTCAAATAAGTCAAATCAGAAATAGTTAAAATTACAAAAAGAGAATTCAACATTCAGTCGTGATCATCCGTTTAGAGGTATTGAAATTGGAAAATCTGTCTTGTCTCTTGAAAGGTGAAATAAAGGTAAAATAAAGACACTTTGTAAAATAAAAATGCATTTTCGGGGGAACCGATGTAGCCACCCTGCCTCCTGACCACAGACTCTAAGCGACATCGAACTATACCGTTATTTGGGTGTACAAGTTCCCGGAGATTCGTTTATACATTTTTCTAGCGAGATTTTTCGTAGAAAATTTGTTGATGGACGCGAAAAAAATATATTCCTCGTTGCGCTCAGATTCTCAAAGAAAACCCACCCGTGTCGTAGTAAAACCGGTACATTCGTCGTTTCTCTCAGAATCTAAAAATGACCGAAAAACCGCCCATTACACTGCATCTGACCGTTGCATATTTCGTATTCGTCGCTATAGCGTTACTGCACATAATTTTAGGACATTATTATTATTATTATTATTTTTTTTTTTTTTTCATGGTCACGATTCGAACGCGATTGTTCGTAACCCGTCGACCTTCATCCCCGCGGTCGGACATCGTAAAAATAAATAATATTATTGTCGTCGAAAACCCGCCGCGCCGCAGTCGACGGGCCGCAGTCTGAAGTCGTCGCGTGCCGCATAATATTTCGAAAGTTATTATTATTATTATTATTTTTTTTTAAATAAACCGAAAGTCGATTGCATTTTTTCCTAGTTTCATTAACTCGGCTGCGGTTGTGGTTCGCGCTGTTATTTTATTTATAAGTATCGTTTAAAATCGACATTTCAAACTGCAATATCTGTTGACTATTCCGCGGACATCGTGATGCAGTTGTCGGGTTGAAGACCACTGTCCGTGTTGTGTGTTATCCTGCAGATAGGTATATTTTTATACGCTATCTTATCCTAGACAAATGAGAAAATATCAGCTGATGAGCAGTTATCTGCTACATACGTAATTGAAACGCTTAAATAAATGTTCTTAAATCGTGATTTATGTACTTAATTTAGAAATAATATGTACAAACAATAGGGATTTCATTTATACCAATAAGGTTTAATACATTATTAACTTATTACATCGCTAACATTTTCGAAGTCTTGGTGTGCACCAAATCCGGCACACTTTCACTGTTTACCTACGTTCAACCTTTAAGTTTTACGATAGGTAAAACGAACATACCTAAAATTCGCCTATTTTATCCGGATACGAAGTTGCTGATTATTATTTATCATTGCCCAAATAATTATTCAATTGTCATGTACCCAGTTTTTATCTTCATTTAGATAGTAATTATTGTGACAGTTATCGTTATCGTTATCGTTGTATAGGTATTTTAACATTTGTACGACATAATATTTTCGAAATGTACAGATAGTTAATCAATATAATGTCTGACGGTACATTATAAAATTGCATTATAACAGTATAATACGAATGAAAAAAGATAACTGTTACTATAAATATTGAATATTGTATAAGTTTGTGTTTTTTTTTTTTTTTTTTTTTATCGAAACGTTTACTTAATCTTTATACGATAATACCGAGTAAATTATTTTCATCGACTCGCACATTTTTGTATATGACGGGAATTTTATCCAAACATTACCGATTCAGGCCCTAATCCGCTCCTTACCACAAATAACGTTTAGTAGTAGGTAATCCGGCAGTAGGTATTTCGGGTTTAATAGTTATTATTTTTTTCAAAATTAACACGGATAAACACTCGGCCACCCGCCCACGTGCGCGTCATCAGTACGAAAAGTATACTGTTGCTGTTGTTTTTGTTGCTGTTGTTTTATTTTTTACAATTATTATTATTATTATCATTTTTATTATTTTTTTTTTTTGATTTCATACATACTCAATAAATATAATATATATATATTGTTGTTTTGTTGACGGCTTTTGCACGTACTCGCACGTACTTACGTTTTGTTCGCAGCTTTTGGCCCCGCATGCCGCATCATGTCTTACCGCTCGCTGGCCGCCGACCGTGTGTACAAAGCGACCACGGACGACCTGCAGCCGGAGCGCAAGAACTCGGTCGGTACCGTATTTAAAAAGGCTTTCGGCACGCTAAGCTCCAGCCCCCGGCGCAGGCTGTCCGAGCCGCTTATGCTGTCCGGCGTGCCCGTGATCGGCACCGGGAACATCAACACGCCGCTCAGGTATACACGCCATTGCCGCCGCCGCCGCCACCATGGCCGACGACGACAACCGCAAAAAAATAATTGAAAATATTAATTATAAAAAAAAAAAAAAAAAATCATAATAAATAAATACGCGTATCACCTTATTTCGAAAAAAAGCACCGAAAGTCAAACGTCTTTTTTACACTTACCGGGTTTTTCACGAAGATAATACACCGTATTGCGAAATTCTCGAAAAGTAATAAGTAATTCTAAAATGATACATGGCCATTATTTTCTGTTACCCTTATTTTTGCCTACTTTCAAATTTCACAATATGACAATCTGTTGTCAAATTTCTATAAATACATGGAGTTTAAATACATTTTAATGTTGAAATTACTGATTTCCGTTATTCCGTCGATGGGATATTCCACTTTTAATTTTAGGCGGGGATATTAGTAATTTCGTTTTGAAAATTAAGTTAAAATACAAATTTTGAAGAAAAAAGTTAACAGTTTCCGAGATATCGCAGTGGGTATAAATCTTCGTGAGACACTTTGTTAATTGATAATACTTGGTAAACTAATCAACAAGAGGGTGGGGGGGGGGGTTTAGGGGTTAAAATAATATGGTTTCTTTTTTTCATTTGATCCCAGAAACAAATGTCGCACTCCTTGAATGGTACTCTCTATATGTGCCCCTCAAAAACTATTTGTTGGTATTTTGTTTATGCCAAAACCTTGAGTTTTCCAGATTTATTTGTAAAACATTTATACAAAATAAAAAAAACCGTACCACGCATTTTTTCCTACAAAAATCGTTTATAAGAAAAGAACTTTTTTCGAAAAATAATCAATATCACCAATTTTTATCCACTATTTTTGACTTATCACGTTAAAAATCGTAATTTTGATGGGTCGCATGCATTTTTACATACATTTTTCAAAAATTTCCGTGGAATCAATTATTTTTTCATTTAAGTGATAATTTAATAATCCTATCAGAAAAATATGAACAGTGTGCTAGTAAAAAATTATGATAAATAGAATAATTTAGCTGTTTTTATTGAAAATAATATTATTGTTTATTAACGTCTGTTAATTATATTACTATTGAAATATTAAATTATGTTCGTAAGGATTAGGTGTAAAGTGTAGACAATTATGATAGGATAATGAAATAAAAAGCTCTTAAATAAAAAATAATTTATTCCGCGGACATTCGTGAAAAAATTACATACGATTTCACGATTCAAGCGAAAATTCGAGTGATCCATTTTATTGTATGACTGCATCATTTTGCAGGCGTTTCTGCGTGGTATAATTTTATTTTTATTATTTATGGATATTTCACAAACAAACCCAGATAATCAAAGTTTTAACAGACAAAAAAAAAATGCTACCAATTTATTTTGAGAGCAACATTTATGGAGTTGCATTACGACATTAATTGCGACATTTGTTTCCGGTAAGTCCGTGTAAGTGTGGACTGTTCTGGTGTCGTGAACGACAATTATTTCCCCGGGTATTTTATAAGTATACGATTAATAAGCTGTACTTTAAATAATCATCGAAATAAACAAAAAAATGCATACCCGCATACTTTCGATTTTTTTAGTCGATATGAACTGAATATTATTATTATTAGACAGATTTCGCACACACGCACACACACACACACACACACACACACATATACACACATAAATAACGGCACGTTATCTAGGTGTTCATAAAATATGACGTGCAAAATACATGGTTTTTTTTTCATAACACTATTATTATTATTGTGTGTTTTTCATGGATTTCGTTTTGCAGAAAAATGCCCACGTCTGCCATTTCCGAAGAAGCATCGCTGCTCAGGTGAGTTATCGGTCCGAGAGGCCCGAGTAATGTGTCCGAAATCGCACGCCAAAAATAACACGACCAAAATAAATAATAAAGTCAATTTCGGTTTTGAGCCCATTAGTCCCGCGGTGACGTGAAACATTTTACCAGGATAATAAGAATTTATTGAAGTAATCTTGCGATTACCTCGTGATTACGAAAACAGTGTCGCAGGTTGTTTGCAGTATTTACTTTATTGAATCATTTGAATCTTATATTAAAAACGCTCAGTCGAAAAATTTGAAAAAAAAAAAAGTCGTTAGCGATTTCCCCCGCAGTATTCACGTATATTATTTACACATTATACTTGTCGTCCTGCGCCCCGGCGTTGCCTGTGCCAATTTTTTTATATTACCTTTATTCCCGTTTTGCTTTGCCCGTAGCAGTGTATTGAACGAAAAAAAAAGGCGGAAAGTGTTCTAGTGTGTCATACATATTTCATCCGGGTTACCATAAATACCCGCACAACATATTAGGGATTAAACTATATCTCCACTATGACTACAACAACGCTAAAATGGATATAATAGTTCCTATTGTAGTGTCGTTACTGTACCGAAAAACACGAAGATTCAAAAATGACGTTTTACGTGTTTTTACTTTTCACTTGCCCATCCAGCGTAGAGCGTAGTTTTTTTTCAACCATGTTACCAAGGTAGCCGATTTCAAACAACCAATAATAGACCTGTAGACAGCCGGGACTCTATTTTCAGTTGTTATAGGTGTTATGGCATTTTCATTTCTGTTTATTATTTATTTATTGTTTTGTTTCAATTTTTTTTTTTTTTAATTTGATCCGTGTTATTATAAGGCAATCAATCCATAATTCAATAAAAATAATTTAATTTTCGCACCGAAAATACCTAAAGACCTTTCGTCCTCTATTTATCTATTTCAAATTCGTGTATCATTTTTAAATCGTTACCGTCGGCTGAGCTGAGAAACTCGAGATTCGCGATGTCGTTTTAAAATCATGTTATCGGTTTTTTTTTTATCAAAACCATAGATATAATAATTCAAACCTACTGCTTCACGTCATCCGCAATCCCGTAGATGGTGTGTAGAAAAAGTGCAAAAAAGCGTATTTTTTTTTTTTTTTGTTTGTTACATTTAAATTATAATAGTATTTATTTTTTTTATTGATTTATTAATTACTACGATTTTAATTTAAAAAAAAAAAAAAAAAAAAAACTGTACGGTGTTTATATTATATTATTGTTATTTTTTGCGTTCGATTTCGATCGTTTTTTTCTCTTAGTACGTGTTTCTCTCGTTTTTTGATTTAATGTTACTGTTTGGAAATATTTTCCTCGACGGTGACAAAAATAACATTATAATGTAATATCGTACAGCGGAATGAGGTCGGAGACTCTGGAGGAAGTGGAACTGACCGGCGTCCGTCCGTCACTGCCGACCGTCCGGACATTCACCAGGGGCAACACCGGTGTGGAAGAGGTGTACGTGGACACCGACAACGGGCCGGTGTGCGTGGCCGTGCAGGGCGATCGATCCAAGCCACCTATACTCACTTACCATGACCTGGGGCTGAACTGTAAGTGACGACGATAATTGAACCGACTCTTTGTGTCTACCGGTTTGAAAACTGAAAACGTGACTGTGAAAAATCTCGTAGCCATTGAATTTCTCAGATTTTTTATCCAGCCAAAAGTATATCTGTTATCGCATGAATTTAAAGAAAAGATACGCAGCTCTTCGCGTTTTTTGTATAACGGTGAATTTCACCGAAATTCGAATATTTCAAACTCCTATCAAACAAATTGTAATCAAATTGCGGAGACACGAAATTTTTTTATCGGAAATCATATCCCTATTTAACGATTCGAACGAATCCTTTCTTCTTATCAAAATCGTATTTACAGATTTAACAGTTTTTTTTTTTTTTTCAAACCCTTATAAAATTCATAATGATATAATATTATGCAAATTAGTTCAACATTGTTTTTAAACGTACTGCAGCGGTGGACAATATTCTAATTACGATTTAAAAATTAACAAATTAATTTACGAAAGCAATTTATTATTAGTATGAACAATCTTCGATACTAAAAACTTGATTTAAAAACCCGGTTGTATTAAAAATATGTAAAAAAAAATATTATTCTAAAAATCTTACTAAAAAAATTAATTTTTTAAATTTGAATTTTTTATTTAATTGAAATTAAAAAAAACACTCCACCGACGGCAACGGCGAGTCAAAGAAACGTTTTCTTAAGGAACCTGTACACATAATTTGTTTTCTCCATCTGTCCCGTGCGTAATAAAGCAACAAAGTCATCCGCACTTTAACGTTTGTAACTCTAGGTGAGTTTAAGATAAACTAGCTTCCTAGACATTTTATAAAGAAGTATGTTAATTATGTCTTGGTCGAATGATTCGTTTAATATTGTTATTTTTATCGTGAAAAAATGCGTGTTTTAATTTAACTCAATTTATTTTAATTTCAACCATTAATAACTTATAAAAAAAAATGAAAATATTTATAAAATAATTTGTCCTAAAACCAACTAGAGAGTGGTCTTAGATTCGCAATCGTTGGAAGTGTGTACTATTTTTCGCTATATTGCGCGTGAGACAAGACAGAGAAAACAAATTACGTGTAAAGGTCTCTTGATTTAATACAATTTCCTAATATACAGAGTGTTAATTTTTGCAGACGTAACGAGCTTTCAGACATTCTTCAACTACAACGAGATGCGCACGCTCATGTCTAATTTTTGCGTCTATCACGTGAACGCGCCCGGACAGGAAGAGGGAGCAGCTCCGTTATCGGACGAGTAAGTGCGACACTCGCGATCTTAATAATTTATCATGCATTTTATCTAACAATAATCAATCGAAATTAATCGAAAAATTATAAGTTTATCTGCCGTTTTACAAAATTCAAAAATCTACTAGTTATTAACAACAACAATTCGGACGTACTGTAAATCGTGCTCACGAAACTACGATTCGATTGAGTATGCCTAATATTGTCGCTTGAGATTCAACGGTCATCAATTTAATTTTTCAGAAAAGCCAAACAAACTGGTTTCTTCGTTAATTTCTTAATTCGTAATTATTAAAAAAAAAAATTAATTACACAGTTTCATCGGAACCCGTGGTACCGTACGGCGTAAGATATGAAAAATATCGCGATGCGCAGTTTCACAAAAACATTCAAGATACCAGCTGTTATCGTTAATTGTATGTTTAATAATTTTTAAAACGCCGGGTTTCTTAGCGATTATATAACACATTCACTACTAAACCCCTCGAAATGTCAAATTAAAAAGTGCTGTAAATATATTTTGGCCGAAACACGACATCTCGGGTGTTGAATCTTAAGCGACAATATCATTTTTTTCCTATAGGAAAAACGAAGATGATAATATTATAATAGTATATTGTCGGCTGGGAACTGTACGGTTTTGAAAGTTTGGTCGTTAGTTTGGTTCGTCTATTTTATCTTGACGGTGGTGGTTAAAAAATATTATTATAGACATTAGTTTGAACAAAAAACAATAACAATAATAATAAAATAAAGGTTTTCGAAAACTTGTGGCAACAGAACCAATCCGATTTTGATGTTTTTTTAATATATATTTCCCACTTGACTGTTTTAAAAATCTAAACTTGTGGTATTTGACCGTTTCAATAACACGTCTTATTTGCACTTAATATATTTATAACGATTTGTGTTATTATTTTTTGAAGAAATATCAAAATAAAACGCTTAAAAATATATTTATATATTTTAATCGCGAGTTTAATCAACAATGTAGTAAAATAGAGCTGATACTGGGAACAGGTTCAGCCACTGTTGTAGGTTGGAAGTTGGGAAGGTAAGATACAAAAGGTTATTTTATTTATATTTGTAAACTATTGCTGATGAAAGGCGATTCTGAGCACAGTTTGGTATTACATAATTTGAAGTATTTTTTTGCGATTTTTGTTTAACTTTGATTTCAAAACGCTTATTAAAAAAAAATTGAACAAAAATATGGTCTCTTGATGTTTTTCAATTGGAACCATAATTGTGCTAGAAAACGTGGTAGGTACTTATTTAAAATAACGAAATCGTGAAAAAATCGTATTTTTTTCCGGTTAATCGTTTTTATTTTAAATACCGTTTAGAATATCAAAAAATGACTTATGTATGTAGATAAAATTTAGGCTTTTAGAAAAGGTTCTACACTTATACATCGTAACAAGTTTTCTAGGATAGAAGTGGTGTAGTATAAAGAAATAAAAGTATCATTGTAAACAAATTTAAAAAAGGAAAAAAAGTCGTTTGATAATTTTGAAAATTTTACTAACTACTAAAATCATGTTTCAAGTCTCTGCGTGTATTTATAACCGAATCACAGCAAAAAACTCTCAAAAATTAAAATTCCTTAAAAGCTCAAAAGTTTTAGCGATGATACCCTAAGAAAGTAAACCAAAAAGGCAACAAACAATGTATCTTGTAATTTTCGATTAAATCATTTTTTCTGGTAAAAAAGGTCGTCCGTGTTTTTATAAAATAATGAAATCGTAAAATAGTACGTTTTTCTACTTTTTTTTTCCATTTAAGTGCTTTTCTTTAAAAATTGGCGTCAAAAATCAAAAAAATTATTTCTTTAACGTACTATCTAGACAACTTGAGCTTTCAGATAAGTTGTTACATGTAAAAATTGTAGCAAGTTTATTAGCAAAACAACGTGCCCACTGACTAAAATAAAGAAATAAATAGCATTGTAAAACCAAAATTGAACTTTTTAGACTATACATTTATTATTTCATAGGATTTTTTTAAAATTTTATACTATAATATTATAACAGTTTTATTTTATCTAATCGTACACGGACACAAGATTATACGAACAAATGCCCAGATATTATTATTGGTATTTTTCGCCCAAAATATCCATTTGG